AGGACCCTGCATCAATAGAGACCCCGCATCCATAAAGACCCAATCTCATAGGGACCCAGCCCTATAGGAACCCCCCATCCATAGGGACCCAGCCCTATAGGAACCCCCCATCCATAGAGACCCAGCCCTATAGGAACCCCCCATCCATAGGGACCCAGCCCTATAGGAACCCCCCATCCATAGAGACCCAGCCCTATAGGAACCCCCCATCCATAGGGACCCAGCCCTATAGGAACCCCCCATCCATAGAGACCCAGCCCTATAGGAACCCCCCATCCATAGGGACCCAGCCCTATAGGAACCCCCCATCCATAGGGACCCAGCCCTATAGGAACCCCCCATCCATAGGGACCCAGCCCTATAGGAACCCCCCATCCATAGGGACCCAGCCCTATAGGAACCCCCCATCCATAGGGACCCAGCCCCATAGGTCCCCACCTGCTCGGCCGCACGGGCCCGGGGCTGGTCGCGGGGCAGCTCCCCGGTGATGACGGTGCCGACGACCGTGAGCCCCTTCCCGGCCTGGAGCTGCGCCGCCAGCGCCAGCACCTGCGGCTGCGTCGCCCTCAGCTCCTCATCCAGCTTCAGCAGCACCAGCAGCTGCGGCCTGCGGGCACAGAGTGGGGTGTGAGTGGTCCCCATCCATCCCCATCCCCATCCCCGGTGCTGTCCCATAGGGATTTCATGGATGAGCAAGGGCAAGAGCAGAGGAAGGGACGAGGATGAGCAGGGGCTGGAGCAGCTCCCATAGGAGCCAGGCTGAGGACATTGGGGCTGCAGGAGAGAAGCTGCGAGGAGAGCTCAGAGGCTGAAGGGGGCTGCAAGGATGCTGGGGAGGGACCTGCATCAGGGACTTGATAGGACAAGGGGTGATGGGGTCAGACTGGGACAGGGGAGGTTTAGACTGGATTTAAGGAAGCTCTTCCCTGTGAGGGTGCTGAGGCGCTGGCACAGGGTGCCCAGAGAAGCTGTGGCTGCCCCATCCCTGGCAGTGTCCAAGGATACAGGGGCTTGGAGCAAGCAGCTCCAGTGGAAGGGGTCCCTGCCTATTGCAGGGGCTGGATCTGGATGAGCTTTGAGATCCCTTCACCCCCAAACCATTCCATGATGATGATTCCATGCCCGAGGGCACCCTCAGTGAGTTTGCAGATGACACCAGGCTGTGGGGCGGGGGGGGCAGCTGGACAGGCTGCATCCATGGGGCTGTGCCAATGGGTTGAGGCTCAAAGTGCCAGGTCCTGCTCTTGGGCCACAACAACCCCCTGCAAGCAGCAGGGCCAGGGCAGCTGGTGAGGCTGCACCTCGAATCCTGGCTTCAGCTCTGGGCCCCTCAGTGCAAGAGGGACATTGAGGTACTGGAGTGGGGCCGGAGAAGGGCAATGGGGCTGGTGCAGGGTCTGGAGCACAGGGGTGATGGGGAATGGCTGAGGGACTTGGGGGGTTCAGAAGGCTCAGGGGGAACCTTGAGCTCCCTGCAACTGCCTGACAGGAGGATGGAGCCAGGAGGGGCTGGGCTCTGCTCCCAAGGGATGGGACAAGAGGAAACGGCCTCAAGCTGCACCAGGGCAGGTTTAGATGGAGCTGAGGAACAATTCCTGCCCCAAAGGGTGCTCAGGCATTGGAACAGGCTGCCCAGGTCACACACCGTGGGGACGAGACCCTCGGTGCCATGGGGCAGTGGTGGCCTTGGCAGTGCCGGGGCACGGTTGGACTGGATGAGCTTAAAGGGCTTTTCCACCCTGGTTGCTTCTGGGACTCTATTCTACGATCCTCTGCCCCACAGCTGCCCCACACATCGCCCCATAGCGCTCACCTCCAGCTCGCGGCGGGCGGCCGCCCGTCCTCCAGGCGCAGGAGGGCAAACCGTGCGGCGCTGAGCGACAGACCCCGCAGGCCCTCGCCCCACTCGCTCTGTGCCCTGTAAGGGGGTGATGGGGAGGAGGAGACGGGGGACCCCAAAACCCACATGGGACCCCCACCCCCATAAACACGTATACCCCGCTTACCCCCGGTACTCCAAGTACTTGTAGGCAGTGGCACCGATGCCCAGGGCCAGCAGCCCACAGTACCAGCAGGCAACAAGCATCAGCGCCAGGCACAGCCCTGCACCCGCCAGCGATGCTGCCCTGGGGGGGGGGGGGGCGACCATCACCGTGGCCTCAGGGCTGCCCCACAGGTGGCTGTGGGGGGGGTGCAAAAGGCAAGGGGGGGGGGGGGGGGGCTCACCAGTGATAGAGGCGACAACGGGGGCTCCATCCTGGGGTGGGCAACAACCCTTGAAGGGCACAGGCCAGGTTCAACCCGAGGTAGGAGGTGAGCCAGAAGCTGTTAATGAATGAGAAGAGGGTGATGCCGTGTGACGTCATCGTGACGTCATGGGGTGGTGATGGGGGGGTGGTGCATCAACACACACGGACAGGACGGGTGACAGGAGGTCAAGGGAACCCAAGAGGACACCGAGTTCAGCCACGGTCACCGTCGCCGCCAGCGGCCAGAGGCGCCCACGACCCAGCGCCTGTGGGGACAGCGGTGAGGCGGTGACAGCACCGGTGACACCGGTGACAACGGGGGACACCGGGTACTCACGTGTGGCAGCGGGAGGGCACGGGTACGGGCCAGGCCCCGCAGCAACCGGCTGCCCCCCAGCAGTGCCTGCAGCCCGGCCCCTGCTGCCGACAGCACGGCCCCGGCCAGTGGCACCCATGGGGACGGCCACGAAGCCACCCCGGCCACCGGTGTCCCCCGCAGGGATGCTCCGAACCTGGGGGGGGGGGGGGGGGGGGCAATAGTGGGACGTTACAGGTAGCACCCAGGGATACCACTTGGACATCATGGATGCAATGGGGATACTGGGAATTCCCTTAGGGACCCCCTCAGAACCCACTGGGACATCCCCAGGGACCCCATTGGGATGCTGGAGACCATAGGAACCCTTCCAGGGGACATCAATAGGGACAGTGGGGACCCCATGGAGACACTGGAGGCCCCCCCCCCCCCGGGACATTGGGGACCCCCCCACTCACTTGTCCCGCAGCAGCTGCCCCTCGATGGAGGCCCCCAGCAGCAGGGCCGCGCTCAGGTCTGGGCTGTCAAGGAAACGGTCCCCCAAAAACCACACCCCCCCCCCCCCCCCCCCCCGACTCTTCACCCCATAATGGGGGTCTCTGCCCCATAACCAGCATCCCACCCCCCCACCATCCAGATGTTGGGGTCCCCCCCACACAGGGCGGATGCAGGCCAAGGTGGTGGCCAGGGCAGCCCCCAGGCTCCCGGCTGGGATGGAGGTGGCGATGTCGCGCAGCTCCCCGCAGCGGCTGCAGCCCCACAGCACTCCTGAACCCCAAAAAATGCCGTGACCCCCCCCTTTATTCCATGGGGTGCCCCCCCCAATACCTGTGTCCCCCCCAAAAAAACAGGGTCCTGCATGGAATTCTGGTCCCGGCCCCAAACACCAGGGTTGTGTGTGTCATCCCCCCCAAAGACCTGGGTCTCCCCAAATATGTGGGTCTCCCCCCCTCAAACACCAAGATCCCCTTCAAATAACTGTGCCCCCACCCTCCCAACCCCCTGCTTCCCCCCCTCCCAGACACCCAGTTCCCCCAGAACACCAGGGTGCACCCCAAGTAACTGTGTACCCCCCAACCCCCTGGTTCCCCCTCCCAGACACCCAGTTCCCTCAGAACACCAGGGTGCACCCCAAGTAACTGTGTCCCCCCCCAACCCCCTGGGTCCCCCTTGGAGTCTTGACTCCCCCCAAACCCCTTGTTCCCCACAATGTTGTGCCTCCCCCATTGCTCATGTTCCCCACACTCACCCGAGGTGATGGGCAGGCTGAGCCCCAGCAGCACCCCAAACGAGGAGTCATCATCATCATCCTCTTCCTCACCCTCTGCTGCTCCCCCCCGCAGCTCGGTGGGACGGGGCCACAGGTTCTCTGTGGGGCAGGACACGCCTGGGTCCCTCCCACCCCTATCCCCATTCCTCCTTAGGGTGTCCCCGCACCCCACATCTGCCCCATATAGACTCACGTGCCAGCAGGTGGGTACTGGGCCCTGGGAATGCCACCCGCGTGGCTCCTTGGGTGCTATTGTTGCCCATGCTGTGGGGCAGAGCTATGGGGCAGGGCTGGAGGCAGCCACCAGGCTGGACGGGCAAGCAGAGTCTTAGGTGGTGGTGGTGGTGGGGGGGACGGGACGGGACAAGACGTTGGTTAGTGCAATGCAGCCCGGTGTTTGGGGGATAAAAAGGGGGTTTTGGGGGTGTGGGGGGGAAGACTCACGGGTGTGGGGGGCCCCCCATGATGGCAGCGCGCAGGGCTCCTGCTTGCAACCCCATCAGCGCCAGCACCAGCCCGGCAGGGCCCAGCGCGGCGGCAGCGGTGGGGGCCGGGGTGGCGGCAGCCCCCAGCCCCAGCAGCGCCAGGAGCACGGCCCCATATCCGCGCCCGTTGTTCAGGCGCCGAGTGCGGCCTCGGCCCGGTAGAACGGCGGCCCCCGGGGCCACGTAAACCTATGGGGAGAGAACGGGCGCGGCCACCGGGGAGGCCACGCCCACAAGAGGAAACCCCGCCCCATCTTTAATAAGCCCACGCCCCTTTAAAGCAGATCCCACCCCCATTATGTCCCCGCCCAAGCAGACCACGCCCCCCCCCTCATGGCAGCCACGCCCCCGGACCAATCCCGTTGCCCTGCCTGAGGAAACCACGCCCCTCTCCCCCGTCGCCACGCCCCCTTAGTTCCCCGGTGCCTCCCCCTTAAAGGGACCGCACCACTCACCAGCAGGACCTCGGCGGCGCCCAGGGCGGCGGCGGCAGCGGTGAAGGCGGCGCTGAGGAAGGCGCAGAGCCCCACGGCGCCCCCAGCCTCGGGGCCCAGCGCCCCCGACAGCAGCCCCAAGGGGCAGCCCCCTGACAGGCCCAACCCTGACGTCAGCAGGGGGGGGCTGGGAAGGGGGGGGTTACCCCCCCCCCCCCACTTTACCCCCTCATTTGTGTGTGTGTCCCCCCCCCAACTCACCGGGGTCAAGGCCATTGGTGGCGATGGCGCTCAGTGACACTGCGGTCAGCACAGCCTGGGGGGGGGGGGGGGTGGGGGGTGACCTCTGACCTTTGACCCCTTCCCATGGGTGAGTTTGGGACATCCCTCATCACCTTAGGATGTGACCCTCTGACCTCACACACAGCCCAGACATGACCCATGACCCCATACCCCACACATAGCCCCAGACATGACCCCTGACCCCGCATGCAGCCCCTAACATGACCCCCGACCCACACATGACCCCTGACCCCCACCCCCCAGACATGACCCCTGACCCCGCATGCAGCCCCTAACATGACCCCCAACCCACACATGACACCAGGACATGACTCCAGATGCCCCCACAAAGCCCCAGATGTGACCCCTGACCCCACACATGACCCCAGGACAAGACCCCTGACCCCACACACAGCCCCAAACATGACCCCTGACCCTGCATGCAGCCCCTAACATGACCCCCAACCCACACATGACCCCAGACCCCCCCCACAGCCCCAAACATGACCCCTGACCCCACATACAGCCCCTAACATGACCCCCAACCCACACATGACCCCAGACCCCCCACACAGCCCCAAACATGACCCCTGACCCCACATACAGCCCCTAACATGACCCCTAACCCACACATGACGCCAGGACATGACCCCAGATGCCCCAACACAGCCCCAGACATGACCCCTGACCCCACAGATGACCCCAGGACATGACCCCTGACCCCACACACAGCCCCAAACATGACCCCTGACTCTACATGCAGCCCCTAACATGACCCCCAACCCACACGACCCCCCAGCCATGACCCCTGACCCCGCATGCAGCCCCTAACATGACTCCCAACCTACACATGACCCCCCAGACATGACCCCTGACCCCACATGCAGCCCCTAACATGACCCCCAACCCACACATGACCCCTGACCCCACATGCAGACCCTAACATGACTCCCAACCTACACATGACACCAGGAAATGACCCCAGATGCCCCCACACAGCCCCAGCCGTGACCCCTGACCCCACACACAACCTGACATGCCCCCAAACCAGCCATGACCCAGCTGTAACCCTGCTCCAGGACCCCTGACCCCAGCCAGGACCCCACGGATGACCCTCTGACCCCAAACATGCCCCCCTGACCCCACTCACGCAGGCGCTGAGCAGGAGGCCGATGGTGCAGGCCTGCAGCACCCCTCCTGTGCCAACCACCCACGGCAACCGCAGCACCAGCACCAGCCCCAGCAGCGTCTGCAGCGCCGGCACTGCCACCCCCAACAGCGTCCCCAGCACCCGCCGCTGCATAAGGAGGGGACAAACACACCCCCGGTCACTGTGTGGGGAGCACAGGTTGAACCCCCTGACACCCCATGGCCACCACATCGATGGTGCCTCACCGGTGTGTCACTGTCAGGGCTGAGGGCGCTGTACTGGGCGATGCGGCGCAGCATGGCGGGGACACGGGGACGGGTGGCCAGTTCCTCCTGTGTGGAAAACACGGGTGGTAATCATAGAATGGTAGGGGGTGGAAAGGACCTTAAGATCATCCACTTCCAACCCCCCTGCCATGGGCAGGGACACCTCACACTGAACCATGGCACCCAAGGCTCTGTCCAACCTGGCCTTGAACACCGCCAGGGATGGAGCATTCACAACTTCCCTGAGCAACCCATTCCAGTGCCTCACCTCCCTTACAGCAAAGAACTTCCTCCTTAGATCCAATCTAAACTTCCCCTGTTTCAGTTTTAACCCGTTACCCCTTGACCCTAATGAACAGTCCATCCCCAGCATCCCTATAGGCCCCCTTCAGATACTGGAAGGCTGCTATGAGGTCTCCACGCAGCCTTCTCTTCTCCAGCCCCAACTTCCTCAGCCTGTCTCCATACAGGAGCTGCTCCAGTCCCCTGATCATCCTCGTGGCCTTCTCTGGACTTGTTCCAACACTTCCATGTCCTTTTTACGTTGAGGACACCAGGACTGCACACAACGCTCCAGGTGAGGTCTCACCAGAGCAGAGTAGAGGGGCAGGATCACCTCCTTGGACCTGCTGGTCACGCTCCTTTGGAGGCAGCCCAGGATACGGTTGGCTTCCTTTGTGCGAGGGCACACTGAAGCCGGCTCACGTTCGTTTTATAATCAATTAATGCGGATACCCTCATTAACACCCCCCCCCCCCCCCCCTTAATTAACAGGCAGAGCTCACCTCGAAGAGCGCTAAGTGCCGGTCACACGCGAGCCCGGCCTCCGAGGGGGCGCGGCGAGAGGAAGCCCCGCCCCTTTGGCGGGAGGGGGCGTGGCCAGAGAGAGGGGGCGTGGTCTGCTCGCTGGGGCTGGGGCTGGAGTCGGAGCGGGGGGGGCGGGAGCTGGATGGGGAGGGCGGCTCCGGGCTGCTCTCGGACGGGTCGGCCCCGCCCCCTCGGCGAGGCCCCGCCCCCGACATGGCCACTTGGGGGGGGGGGGGGAGAAGAGCCAGGATTGGGAGAAACAAGGACATTAATTCCAATAAACCGCTTTTTTATAGGAAAAACGGCCCTATTTGGGGAAAATAAAGCTATTCCTGAGGGAAAAAGGATTTGAGGAAGAACAGGGCTATTTTTACTCAAAAAAATCTGAATTTTTACAAATAATATCAACAAGAAACAGCAATTTTGGGGGAAAACGCCTGCTTTAGTCCACTTTTAGGAACAATGGGGGAAAATAAAGCTATTTGTGAGGAAAACGAGCCAGCGTAAGGAGAAAGGTGGCAATTTTTGCATGGAAAACGAGCATTTTTTAGGGAAAAATAACTATTTTGGGAAACAATAGCTATTTCTGAGGGAAAAGAGACATTTTCAGGGGAAACATGGATTTTTTTCCCCCCTTAAAACTGAAGTTTTAGGGGAAATAGCCATATTTGGGGAAAACGCTGTTGTTTCTCAGGGAAAACATGAATTTATTCTTTTTCCCCCAGGAAAAAAAGGAATTTTTAGGGGAAAATTGTAATATTGGATTAAAAAAAAAAAAACCTGTTCCAAATAAACCCAACTATTTTAAAGGTAAAAATGGATATTTTTCTAAAAGGGCATTTTAGAGGTAAAACAGCAGTATTTGGGGATCAAACAGAGATTTCTGAGGGGAAATGAACAGTTTTGGGGCAAATATGAACTTGTTTCCCAGCAAAAAAGGCATTTTTGGGGGGAAAAATAGCCATTTGGGTGAGAAAACAGCTATTCTGGCATTCTGGGGAAGAAAATAAAGACATTTTTGTGGGGAGAAAACCAAACCAACCCCATACCCCCCAAAAAAACCCAAATTTTAAGAGAAAACTTTTGGGATGGGAGGAGAAATAGTGAAATAAAAGTTATTTTGAGGGGAAAAGTGGAATTTTTGAGGGGAAAAGAGAGGTTTTGGGGTAGGACCCATGAGTATAGAGGGAGAGAACCCCATTCCAGGGAAAGCACTCTCCTTGCTATGGAAGAAAGGCAACCCTGAAGGAAAAAAACAGGCCATTTTGGGAGAAAAACAGGCACTTTGAGGCAAAATCTACAGCTCTGGTCGGGAATGGGACAGTCTGGGGGAAAAAAAAATGGTGTTTTGGGTGAAAAACCTGACTTTGAGGGGAAAAAGGGATGCACTAAGGGAAAACTGCTGTTTTTTTGGGGGGGAAATGACATTTCTAAGGGGAAAAATGCTGCTTTGAGGGGAAAACGGATGGTCTGAGGGGAAAAACTGATGGATTTTGGGGTAAAATGATGCTGTAAGGGGAAAAATGTACGGGGGGGGGGGGTGATACCTTGAGGGAAAACCTCTGCTCTGGGGGAAAATCAGTGCCTCCGGCCTCTGTTTTGGGCTGAAAAGGGGCCATTTAGGGAAAAACCGACCCTCCCAGCCCCTCCTCCTGAGGACCCCCCCCCCCCCCCGGTGTGTGTGTGTGTGGGGGGGGGGGGGGGGGGGTTAAATCCATCATTTTGGGGCAAAACCCCCCGATTTCCGAGCTTCCCACCCCGCTCCCCTCTTATACCCCCCTCTTACACCACCCGCTTTTGGGGACAAAACGCCTCTTTTCGGGGCATATCCCCGCCCCCCCTCCCCCTTTTGGGCCCGATCCTCCTCGTTTCGCCCCCTACCCCCACCCCGTTTTGGGTCAAAAAACCCCCGTTTTGGGTCCATCCTCCCGCTCTTTCCCCCCCGTTTGAAGGCGTTACCTGACGGGAAAAGGGGGGGGGGGGGGAGGGCGGAAGGGGGGGCGCGCCCTCCACCACCGCCGCGTGACGTGCCGAGGCCACGCCCCTCCCGCTCTGCCGCAGGGGCGTGGCCAACGGGAGGCGGTGCCGGGGTTGGAGCCTGAGCGCTGATTGGGTGGGGGCGCTGGGGGCGTGGCTACGCGAAGGAGGCGATGTGCGGTCCTAATGCCCCCCCCCCCCTCCCCTTCAAGACGCGGAGCCGAATGAGTCCCATGGGGTTTATTCCGCGATCACCGGGGCCCGTCCCTTCCGTTAAAGGAGAGGCCGCGCCCGCTGTGTGGGCAGGACTCCGAACCGCCGCTTCAACGCCAGGCGGTGCCGGGAGAACTTGTCGTCGGGGGAGAACCGAGCCGGGTGGGCCGAGCGGGTGGGCTGCCCCGCCGGGGACACTTTCTGCGGGAAGGAAGGAAGGGAAAGGGGTGAGGCCGAGCCGTGCCGGGACCCCGGGAGCCTCCCCGGTCTCCCCTCCCCGGTCTCCCCTCCCCGGTACCTTCAGTGTGTAAACGCGCTCCCCGCGCTCATCGGTGTAGCACTGCAGGAACATGGCGCCGCTGCCTTCGCCGCGCAGAGCGCGATGGGAAAGAGGGGGGCTCGCGCGGAATGGGAAATGTAGTCCAGGAGAGCACAGAGTGCGGAAGTGGCTTTAGCGATGGCCAAGATGGCGGCGCCCTTCCCCAAGATGGCGGCGCCCATGCGGGACACGCCCCAGTCACCATGGCTCCCATCGCCGCTTCGCCCCTCCCTTCCCCTCCACCACGTGACCACGTTCTCATTGGCACTAGGCTGAACGGTTGCATCCCTATTGGCCCCCGCGGCGTCCCGCTCCCTGATTGGCGGCGGTGCTTCACGTGACGAGCGGCGGTGAGGAGCGCAGCGGCCGCCGTACGAAGGTACGGGTCGGGGAGGGGTGGTCCCGCGTTACCGGAACAACGGGGGCGGGGCTACCGAGGAACCGGAGAACTTCCGGGGCAACCGGAGAAGCTCCCGGGACGGATCCGTGTGTCCCGGTTGGGGTCCCGGTGTGTTTCCGGTGCCACCGTGTCGTCCCCCCCCCCCCCCCCCCCCACAGGCCGAGGCGATGCCGCTGCCCGTGGCGCTGCAGTCCCGCCTGGCCAAGCGCGGCCTGCTCAAGCACGTGGAGCCCGGTAAGAACCAGGGGGGAAACCGGGGAAGGGGGCGTGGCCAGGCCGGAGGGAGGCGGAGCTGGAGTTGTCTAGGGGAGGGGCTATGACCATATAAAGGGGGCTGATGGGCGTGGCTATGTCTCGGCGGGGGCTGGGGGCGGTGCTGTGACCGTAGAAGGGTTGCTGTGGTGGGCGGGGCTATGGCTATAGAAGGGTTGCAGTGGTGGGCGGGGCTATGGCCATAGAAGGATTGCCATAGTGGGCGGGGCTATGACCGTAGAAGGGTTGCAGTGGTGGGCGGGGTTATGACCATAGAAGGGTTGCGGTGTTGGGCGGGGCTATGATCATAGAAGGATTGCCGTAGTGGGCGGGGCTGTGACCATAGAAGGGTGTCTTTGGTGGGCGTGGCCATGCCTCAAGCTCCGCCCACTCGCAGAGCCGGAGGAGGAGATCATCGCCGAGGACTACGACGACGCGCACGTGGATTACGAGGCCTCGCGGCTGGAGGGGCTGCCCCCCCCTTGGTACAAGGTCATCGACCCGACCTGGTGAGACACCCCCCCCTGGAGCCCCCCACCCTCCCGTGGGGCTATAGGGGCCATAGGGACGCTCTCCAGGGGTTATAGGGGCCATAGGGACACTCTCCAGGGGTTATAGGGGCCACAGGGACACTCTCCAGGGGCTATAGGGAACATAGGGACCCTCTCCAGGGGTTATAGGGGCCATAGGGACACTCTCCAGGGGCTATAGGGGCCATAGGGACGCTCTCCAGGGGCTATAGGGGCCATAGGAACGCTCTCCAGGGGCTATAGGGAACATAGGGACGCTCTCCAGGGGCTATAGGGGCCATAGGGACGCTCTCCAGGGGCTATAGGGGCCATAGGAACGCTTCCAGGGGCTATAGGGGCCATAGGGACACTCTCCAGGGGCTATAGGGAACATAGGGACGCTCTCCAGGGGCTATAGGGAACATAGGGATGCTCTCCAGGGGCTATAGGGAACATAGGGACGCTCTCCAGGGGCTATAGGGAACATAGGGACGCTCTCCAGGGGCTATAGGGAACATAGGGACGCTCTCCAGGGGCTATAGGGAACATAGGGACGCTCTCCAGGGGCTATAGGGGCCATAGGAACGCTCTCCAGGGGCTATAGGGGCCATAGGAACGCTCTCCAGGGGCTATAGGGAACATAGGGACGCTCTCCAGGGGCTATAGGGGCCATAGGAACGCTCTCCAGGGGCTATAGGGAACATAGGGACGCTCTCCAGGGGCTATAGGGAACATAGGGATGCTCTCCAGGGGCTATAGGAACATAGGGACGCTCTCCAGGGGCTATAGGGAACATAGGGACGCTCTCCAGGGGCTATAGGGAACATAGGGATGCCCTCCAGGGGCTATAGGGAACATAGGAACCCTCTCCAGGGGTTATAGGGGCTATAGGGACGCTTTCCAGGGGCTGTAGGGGTCATAGGGACATTCTCCAGGGGCTATAGGGAACATAGGGACGCTCTCCAGGGGCTATAGGGAACATAGGGATGCTCTCCAGGGGCTATAGGGAACATAGGGATGCTCTCCAGGGGCTATAGGGAACATAGGAACCCTCTCCAGGGGTTATAGGGGCTATAGGGACGCTTTCCAGGGGCTGTAGGGGTCATAGGGACATTCTCCAGGGGCTATAGGGAACATAGGGACGCTCTCCAGGGGCTATAGGGAACATAGGGATGCTCTCCAGGGGCTATAGGGAACATAGGGACGCTCTCCAGGGGCTATAGGGAACATAGGGATGCTCTCCAGGGGCTATAGGGAACATAGGGACGCTCTCCAGGGGCTATAGGGAACATAGGGACGCTCTCCAGGGGCTATAGGGAACATAGGGATGCTCTCCAGGGGCTATAGGGAACATAGGAACCCTCTCCAGGGGTTATAGGAGCCATAGGACCCTCTCCAGGGGTTATAGGGCTATAAGGCCCTTCTTCAGGGGCTATAGGGACCCTTTCCAGGGGCTATAGGGGCCATAGGAACCCTCTCCAGGGCTTATAGGTGCCATATTGAGCCTGTTCAGGGGTTATAGGGGCCATAGGGACCCTCTCCAAGGGTTATAGGAGCCATAGGGACCCTCTCCAGGGCTTATAGGGGCCATATTGAGCCTGTTCAGGGGTTATAGGGGCCATAGGGACCCTCTCTAGGGGCTATAGGGACCCTCTCCAGGCATTATAGGGGCTATAATGACCTTCTCCAGGGACTATAGGGCCCTTTCCAGGTCCTATAGGAACCATAATGACCCTCTCCAGGGGTTATACGGGCCACAGGAACTCTCTCCAGGGCTTATAGGGGCCATAGTGACCCTGTTCAGGGGTTATAGGGGCTATAAGGACCGTCTCCAGGGGTTATAGGGGCCATAGGGACTCTCCAGGGGTTATAGGAGCCATAGGGACCCTCTCCAGGGGTTATAGGAGCCATAGGGACCCTCTCGAGGGGCTGTAAGGTCCATAGGAACCCTCTCCAGGGCTTATAGGGGCCATATTGAGCCTGTTCAGGGGTTATAGGGGCCATAGGAACCCTCTCCAGGGCTTATAGGGGCCATATTGAGCCTGTTCAGGTGTTATAGGAGCCATAGGGACCCTCTTCAGGGGCTGTAGGGGCTATAGGGGTCCTCTCCAGGGGTTATAGGGGCTATAAAGACCTTCTCCAGGGGCTATGTGGACCTTTTCAAGGGACTATAGGGACCATAGGGACCCTCTCCAGGGGCTTTAGGGTCTATAAGGACCCTCTCCAGGGCCTTTAGGGCCTATAAGGACCTTCTCCATGGGCTATAGGGCCCTTCCCAGGGGCTATAAGAGCCCGCTATAGGCTCCTGCCACCCACAGTGGGCTGCCCTACTACTGGAACGTGGAGACCGACCTCGTGTCCTGGTTGTCCCCAAACGACCCCAACTCCGTCATCACCAAAGCTGCCAAGAGGCTCAAAGGGGCCCAGGGTGAGTCAATGGGGGGGGACACCCCCCAAAACCTCCGGGTTAGGGGGAGCAGGGAAGGGTTTGGGGGTGTCCCCCCCTCTTTCAGTCCTGGTTCCTCCCATTTTGGCTCCAGTAGAGGCTGAGGAACCCCCTGAGAGGGGCTACGAGAAGGAGGAGCCCCCCCGGGAGCGGCGCTTCCACCGGCGCGAGGAGCTGGCGCCGTACCCCAAGAGCAAGAAAGGTGCGTTTGGGGTACCCCCCCATCACTTGGGGGGGTTCTTCTTCACATGGGGGCTCCCCATTCATTTGGGAGGCTCCCCTCATTTTGGGGGAGTCCCCATTCAATTTGGGGGCTCCCCCTTCATTTGGGGGGGTTCTTTCACTTTGCGGAGTCCCCCTCATTTAGGGGGGGTCCCCATTCCCCTTGGGGGGTCTCCATCACTTTGGGGGTTTCCCCTTCACTTGGGGCTACCCCTTGACTTGGGGGTGTCCCCTCTACACTGGGGGTTCCCCCCTTCATTTGGCAATGTCCCCAACACTCTGGGGGCTCCTCCCTTCATTTGGGAGCTGCTGCCCCTAAGTTTGCCCCACTCTGACCCCTATTTCCCCACCTCCCTCCCCCAAAAGGCAGCCGCAAGGACGAAGAACTGGACCCCATGGACCCCAGTGCCTACTCGGATGCCCCCAGGTAAGTCCTGGAGCCATGCAATGGGGTTGGGAAGGACCTGGAAGCTCCTCCAGTTCCAATCCACAGGGATCCCTCCCACTGGCACAGGTTGCTCCAAGCACCACTGCCAGGGATGGGGCATCCCAGACCTTCTCCATTCAACCCATCCCAGTATCCTCCTGGGGATGAAATTCCTTAGATCCCAGGGAAATGTCCCCTGGTCCATGTCCCATCCCTCCAGTCCCTGATGGAGAATCCCCCTCCAGCATCCTCATACCACCCCCCCTTCAGACCCTGGAAGCTGCTCTGAGGTCTCCACGCAGCTTCTCTCCTCCAGCCTTCCCTCTGGATCCCATTCCCACCCTTTGGATCCCATCCCAACCACACTCAGTTCCTTTAGGGCTGGGTTTGTGATCCTCTTCCCCCCCCATCACCAGGGGGACGTGGTCCACGGGGCTCCCCAAGAGGAACGAAGCCAAGACCGGGGCGGACACCACGGCCGCGGGGCCCCTGTTCCAGCAGCGCCCGTACCCGACCCCGGCGCCGTCCTCCGGGCCAATGCTGAGGCCTCCCGGAGCAAGGACTGACCCCAACCCCCCCGGGCCCCCTGAAAACACCTCTGGGACCCCCAAAAACACATCTGGGACCCCAAAACCACCTCTGGGACCCCCAAAAACACCTCTGGGACCCCCAAAAACACCTCTGGGACCTCCAAAAACAACTCTGGGAACCCCCAAAACCACCTTTGGGACCCCAAAAACAACTCTGGGAACCCCCAAAACCACCTTTGGGACCCCAAAAACAACTCTGGGACCCCCCAAAACCACCTTTGGGACCCCAAAAA